TTCTCACAGCGACAGATCGGCGAAATGCGCTATTGTTGATTGTGCCGCGCCGAGCTGCGATGAATTGATATCGTCAATTAAACAGTAACACATCGCACTACAAACGGATGTTATTCGTTTAAATTTATTCGAAGTAGTGCGCACCGCTTTCTTCTAGCTCGAAATGGCCCGATGGTTCACGCGCTTGTTTCATTTTGCCGCCTTCGGCGGTCGCGCGCTACTGCAAGCGAGAGGGCTCTGGTTAGAGCACGCCCGACGGCAAGTGCTACGAAGTAGCGCGCGCCGGGCCAGACCATTAACAATGGCCAATACAAACTTAAACCCTCGTTAACGTTTGGGTAACTTAATTTGTTGACTTGTAGCGAGATGCACTACTGGGTCGCGCCGCGCATCAAATAATTCTTCTCGCAACCACGTATGCAGATCGGCGAGATGCGAAGGATTGACATCGTGAATCAATTAGTTGACGTATCATTTGTTCTTGATCATATCGTCTAAAGAACACAACTGGCATTTTTATATATCCTCAAAGTGTTCGTAACCAAAATGACATCAATCTTTTCATTTGACGAATTCTTCTCCAAAAATCTTTGCAATTCAGATCACGTAGCAATAACAAATGTTGACGGATGTTACTCGTCTAAATTTCTTCGAAGTAGCGCGCGCCGCTTTCTTCTCGAAATGTTATGTGGCCCGATGGCAAGAGCTACGAAGTAGCGCGCGCCGGGCCAAATCATTAACAATGGTCAATAACAAATGTAAATCTTGCGTAACCAAGTAAATTTTATTTTATTTTTCATTTTCAAAACGTTTTTGTGTGCAAACATTTATTTTGGTTGACGATGTCAACCCATCGAGATCGTTGCTCTGCGAAGCAAAAACGCTAGTTCGCGCGGCGCGTCGAAGCGGCGAAGTCCTCCAAACATTTATTGGGTACCTATCGCTCCATCAAGTTAAATTTCTGCCAAAACTAATGAAATGCTGTTCAATGATATTTATTTATAATTTTACAAGATACAAATTTTTTTGAAACGATCTTAAAATACTAATTTTGTTTGTGTGCCGCGCGCTAAAAAATTGTGATTGAAATCGAGCGCTACCATAGCATTTTCTTAACAACCTTGCAACCCATTGTAAATTTTGAAAGGATTGTGTGGTGCTCGTGTTTTCTGTCTCCGTTTTCTTCAGTTTAGTTTGATTTGAAGATCAGTAAAAGAAGAATACAAGAAACTGAGTCAAAGCAATGATGAATATCTATGTACAAGATGCCTAAAAACAACATCAAAGGACGCTGATACTGTGGTAGAAGAGGCAAAGGAGTGCTGTTTCCCAGATCATGAAAATGTAAGTGATCCATCTCGATTGAAATTAGGACCATGGAATAGTTGGGAAGTTCTGACAAAATGTGAGGAAATATATGGTGTTATAGTTAAATGGAGAAGAAACATATTTTTGCTTCCCTCAGGGGCGGCAGGAAAAGCATTCATCGAAGAAATGACTAAAGTGGCCAACAATTTCACATCAGGCAGTGCTATGGAATCAGTGACCATCACCCTATTGATGATAATGCCATCACTGCTGTTGCAGAAACCCTCAAAGAGGTCCAAAGCAAAGGAACACACTGAAGTGTTGAAGAGAAGACTTGTTTTGTGGCAGGCAGGTAAGCTAGAAGAGCTGCTGCGAGAAGGACAGGAGATTCAGAGGAGATTGGGAAAGGGGAAGCATAAACATGGCCATGTTGAGAGAGTCTTCACTCGACTTATGATGAAAGGAAAAGTCAGTGCAGCAATGCGGTGGATTGGTGAAAATGCCACTGGGATTCTTGAACCTACTCCAGATGTGATTAAAGTGCTGAAAGAGAAGCATCCCAAGGCATCACCTGCATCAAAGGGAAGCTGTCTGAGTGGACGAGTGAGGAGGGTAGAGCCGGTTATATTTGACAGTATTGACGGGGAATCGATAAGACAAGCAGCAAAGAGAGTACAGGGTGCTGCAGGGCCTTCAGGGATGGATGCGGATGCATGGAAGAGACTACTGTGTTCTAAACAGTTTGGTAAGAAGTGTGAGGATCTATGTAATGCCATAGCAGGGATAGCAAGGAAACTATGTGTCCGGAATTTGGATCCAACGCTGTTGACCTCATTGACAGCATGTCGACTTTTCCCCCTGGATAAAAAGCCTGGAGTCAGGCCAGTAGGCATAGGTGAAGTATTAAGAAGGATAATAGGGAAAACAGTAATGACCCTCCTACAGAAAGATCTGGTTGGAGCCACTGCTCCTATTCAAGTTTGTGCTGGTCTTCAGGGAGGAGTGGAAGCAGCAGTCCATGCTGCAAGGGACTGCTTTGAAGACCCTGAAACTGAAGCTATCATCTTAGTGGATGCAGAGAATGCATTTAACTTGCTGAACCGAGAGGCTGCTCTCAACAACATGAACATCGTTTGTCCAGAAGTTGCTACTTACATTATGAACACCTACAGAATACCTGCTAGGCTGTTCATTTCAGGAGGAGATGAGCATCTTTTTAGTGAAGAAGGGACCACACAAGGTGATCCACCTGCCATGGGATTTTATGCCTGTGGTACAATACCATTGATTGATGCAAGAAACATTGAGAGAAAGGTGACTCAGATCTGGTATGCTGATGACTCTGCTGCTGGGGGAAAACTGGACCTGAAATAAGGAAGTGGTGGGATAACCTCTGTATTAAAGGACCACTCTTTGGATACAACCCTAAATCTTCTAAAACATGGGTGATAGTCAAGCCTGAGCACGAAGAGAAGGCAAGAACCCTATTCCCAGATGTCAATGTGACAAGCATTGGTCAACGATATCTGGGCAGCTTCATAGAAACAGACCAAGGAAAAGAGGCTTTCATTGAGGAAATAGTTCAAGAATGGTGTCGTGATCTTAAACAGTTAAGTGATATAGCATCAAGAGAACCTCAAATAGCATACAGTGCATACATGTATGGGCTTAGTAAAAGATGGAACTATGTGTGCAGAACTACCCCAGGAGTTGCAGATAGGCTCACTCCTCTAGAACAAGTAACACGTGATGAGTTTATCCCAGCTATCATAAACAGGCTGTTTAGCTGCACTGATGAACTAAGGAACATAATGGCTCTACCACCAAGATATGGAGGATTGGGTATACCAGTTATGATGGAAATGGCAGACCGAGAGTACAATTTCTCATGTAGAGCCACAAAACCCCTTAAAGAAGCTATTCTCAAGCAGATAGACAACTACACAGAGGACTGGAGACACAGTAAAGGAGTGAAAACTGAGATAACGACTGAACAAAATCTCTTTTATCAACAAAAACAAGCAGAAATACGCCAGGAGCTCGAGTCAACACCACTGGCAAAGTTGATGTTCCAACTAGCAGCTGAGAAAGGGGCAAGTGCTTGGTTAACAGCACTACCTTTAAAAGAGTATGGATATCTGATGAATAAACAACAGTTCTCAGATGCAATAGCTCTCAGATACAACCTGAACCTAAAGGACTGCCCTAAAACATGTACGTGTGGCCAGAAATACTCAGCAAACCATGCGCTCATCTGCAAACTTGGTGGATATGTGTCACTGCGGCACAACTCGCTGAGAGACACCTTTGCAGAACTAATGAGAACTGTGAAATGCAAGGATGTGCAGACTGAGCCAGTTCTTCTTCCAGTTGATGGTCTAGAGTTACCAGCAAGGGAACAGTCCTAGGAGACCAAGCCAGGCTGGACATTTCTGCAAGATCGATTTGGAATGCTTCAGAGAGGGCATTTTTTGATGTAAGGGTATTTCATGCCCCAGCCCCCTCCAATGCAAGCAAACCGATACCAGCAATGTACCTGTCCCATGAAAATGAGAAAAAGCGATGTTACAATGCAAGGGTTCTTGAAGTGGAGAAAGGAAGCTTCACACCTTTAGTGTTCTCGACTTCTGGTGGAATGGGTGGTGAAGCTGAGAGACTGGTCAAGAAGCTGGCCAGTAAGATGGAGTACCACACTGGCCAGAGGTACTCAGACGCTGTAGGATACATAAGAAAGCGCCTTCGCTTTGAAATCCTTAGAACAACAGTGATTTCTCTCCGTGGAGACAGAGGTGCGAGAAAAAACATTGTTGATATAAACAGTCTAGATCTTAACTTGGAGCCACAAGGCCAAGGGTAATTTTTGATTGTTAAGGGAATTTTTTGAATTCTTAAAGGGTTGATTTTATATAGGGTCATTGCTATATTATGTGTATATTGTTTGAATAATTTTATATATATATTAAAAATTTAACTGGGTTATAGTACAATCAAGTGTTGTATAGTATAGTTATAGTGCTACTACTAATATTTCAATATTGCTGAGATACCCACATATGTATGCAGTTTTACCGATTTGATGTGGCGTTACTTTTAACAAGACTCTAGATCTTTTGGCTGGGTATGAATAGGATTGGTCGGTGGTCCTAATCTTGAGTCCTGCGAAACACCTGACCTTACCTGAGAGGAAGAAGCCTTGGATATCTATTTTGGCTGGTTATCAATAGGATTGGCTGGGTATGAACAGGATTGGTCCTAACATTGAGCTTCGGAAACACCTGACCTTACCTGACTGGAAGCAGACATTTTATTTCCTTGGGTATCTAATTTGGGGGCAGTGAGTGGTCCTCTGGTTGACATTGAAGCATGACCAGTTCTGCTCAGACAGTTATAAATGGCTTAACTTAAAATTTGTGTTTGACTGAAATTGGCACTAAATTAGGCTAGGAAGGGCCCTTTATGGTACCTTCTAGTACATACGCTGGATTGTAATCTGACAACTACTTAATTTGTTCTTTGAGTGATGCGTTGTGTTATATCAATCTCCCCTGCAGATAAATCGTTAGATTTGTTCATCGAGTCTGATTGAACATTTGGACAACTCAGAATGGCATACAAATTGTTTTGTTTTTTGATATTAACTGATGCATTTTATGTATTAAACCTGAAATTGATTGATAGTTTAACCTTGCTACAGTTGTTACTATCCCTACTACATCAGATAATGGCTGTTACTGGTCTATGCTGAAAGGAGATGATTATCAATGCTTTGACCAGCGTTGGTAGATCTTATGAAGAGACTCGAAATGTGACAATAACACTCGCGACACTGATAGGATTTATATTTATTGTATCAGTTCAACATCCTGTCTTTGTTTTGTACCTATGGCTATTTTCTGGCGGCATGGCAATTGGGGTATTTGTGCTGCAACGATATGTAACTCCACCTAGTATCTGGATTTTTGGGTACCTCTTCAAACTAAAATACAGACCATATAAAATTTTACCAGTTCCATCTGTGAAATATGTTCAGTGTCCTGTTTGTGACAAACAAAACTGCCGTCGTCATGAAGTCCAAGTAAAATCAGATCAGATATGGAAAGGGATGATGATACCAGAAAAAATTGATGAAAAGATTGAAGAGTTTTGTCAGTTGTTATTAGTTCATCATATTTACTATTGGTATCATCCCATCAGTAAGAATTCTGATTTCCTCCATGACGTCAGATGTATCTTCCGCTTCATAGCTGCTTCTTTGATACGAATCAGCATGCAACTGGATATTGGTTTGTAGTTTTGCATGTTATTCTAATCTTTCAATATCAATTTGTTGCAAAATGCAAAAATGTTGATTTGGCAAGACAAAATCGTGTTATGTGGTTCTTGTATATAATGCCCCTTGAAACTTTTACACATACCATTTCCAAATTTTGACTTTTCAAAGCAAAACATTTAAAAATGTCTACAAAGCATCACTGATAATTTTTAGGAAAGATAGTGACTGAAAAGCTGATTCCCTTGGGAGTGGTTCATCTGGATAATCACGTTAAAACTAAACAAAAGCACCCTAACGTCAGTAGAGACGAACTTGCGAAATTAACTTTGGAAGAGTATGGTGAGAATCTCCACATAGCTCTAACAAGTGAAGACTCTGAGAACAGGTTTACTCTTTCTCTTATTTCCTGACTGAAATTGTGAACTGCTGTAAATTGGTTAATTCTAAAAACATTTGATAGTCTATAAATCACATTGATATAAATTATTTAAGCTTATATAACCTATTTTCTCTTCTCCTCTTAGCATCTAATTTTATTAATATCCAGATATCTACGATCCCTAGTCGAGTTGCTGCTACCCTACTTAGTTCCTGAGGGTAGACTCAGTGCTCCCAAAGCTAACACCTTCATTAGAGAGCTTGTTGCCATGGTGATGCTTAAAACCGGAGTTGATTTGATTGCTGCTCCAGATTTTATAAACCTTATGATCAGGATGTTGCTAGACCCTGAAACTATGAAGGTTTGGTTAATTAAATAACTATAGTTTCAAACTAGACCTCTAAATTCAATAGGTATAACCTAATGTAGAATATAAGTCACTGGTAAAGTTATAAAGTTTTATATCCACTTCCAGAATGGCACACAGTCACTCAAATATCATTCTGTCATTACTATTTTAGTAACCTAATAATATGTGACTATTTATATTTTATATGGTAACCTTACAAAAATGCTCATCCCAGGAACACAAGCTTCCTCCTTCACGCAAAGTAGAGCTCCTTTCAAACTTTGTGGTAGGAACTTCCAGTCTACAGAACTCCCAGTATTACAACCTGGAGGATCTCCTCTTTAACCAGACAAACCTCTACTCGTTTATGCAGGTTAGTTTTGTAAAATTAAAATTTTCGATCCAATTTGTCTAAATAATTATAAAAAAATTATATAAATCATACCAATAGGCAATGAAAAAGAATATATATTGTGTGACAATAAGGGATATGATCCAGATTCGGGTAAAACAATCTTCAAAGTTACCAAAACTTTTTCATCTGACTGTCTTTCGGGAAATTCAAGGTTTTATTACACGAGAAGTCTTCAAATATAGCTTGTTATTTCAGTATTTAAGGAAACAGGGAGCGATAAACCTGCTACAATGTTGCCTGACTGTGAAAGAGAAAATGGATACTTTTAACACCACATCCGTGGATTCAGAAATCAGATTTACTGGGTTTGTAGTCTCCTTATTTCGTTAAATATTTTTATAAATAAAATTTGTGATTTAATATGGCTTTTATAATATATAGGGGGGGGGGGGGGGGGGGTGTCACGTCCGTCTTTGTCCGCTTGTCTCATAGAATCCAAAAAGGACAGGACATAGGCGGACATAGGCGGACATAGACGGACATAGGCGGACATAGACGGACATAGGCGGACATAGGCGGACATTAATGGACACCTAAATTGCTAAATAAAATGTTCAATTTTTGCTGTTATAGGGGGATCATGTTTTTTGTCCGTTCGGTACCCTATATTTTCAAAACGGACAAAAATAGAGCGGACAAAAACGGACAAAAATGGACAAAAACGGACAAAAATGGAAATAACATTTAGATGCTTCCTCCTCCTACTCTTCCTCCTCCTCCCCCTGGGTCTTCCTGATCTTCCTCAGTCCTCTTCTTCCTCCCCTCCTCAGTCCTCCTCCTACTCCTCCTCCTCGTCCTCAGTCCTCCTCATCAGTCCTCAACAGTCCTCCTCCTCCCCAGTCCTCCTCCTCCTCCTGAGTCCTCCTCCTGGGTCCTCCTCCTGGGTCCTTCTCCTCCTCTTCATCCTCCTCCTCTTCCTCCTCAGTCCTCAGTCCTCCTCCTCATCCTTCTCTTCAGTCCTCCATCCTCCTCCTCAGTCCTCCCCCAGTCCCCCTCCTCCTCCTATTCAGTCCTCCTCCTCCTCCTCCTCCTTCTCAGTCCTCCTCAGTCCTCCTCCTCCTCCTCCTCCTCTTCCCTCTCAGTCATCCTCCTCAGCCATCCTCCTCAGTCCTCCTCAGTCCTCCTCAGTCCTCCTCCTCAGTCCTCCTCCTCCTGGGTCCTCCTCCTCCTCTTCATCCTCCTCCTCTTCCTCCTCGGTCCTCAGTCCTCCTCCTCCTGGGTCCTCCTCCTCATCCTTCTCATCAGTCCTCCTCCTCCCCAGTCCTCTCCCAGTCCCCCTCCTTCTCCTCCTCCTATTCAGTCCTCCTCCTCCTCCTCCTCCTCAGTTCTCCTCAGTTCTCCTCAGTCCTCCTTCTCATTTCTCCTAAGTCCTCCTCCTGCGTCCTCCTCCTGGGTCCTCCTCCTCCTGGGTCCTCCTCCTCCTGGGTCCTCCTTCTCCTCCTCAGTCCTTCTCCTCCTCCTCCTCAGTCCTCTTCCTCCTCTTCCTCCTCCTCCTCCCTCTCAGTCATCCTCCTCAGCCATCCTCCTCAGCCATCCTCCTCAGTCCTCCTCCTTCTCAGTCCTCCTCAGTCCTCCTCCTGAGTCCTCCTCCTCCTCAGTCATCCTCCTCAGTCATCCTCAGTCATCATTCTCAGTCATCCTCAGTCATCCTCCTCAGTTCTCCTCCTCCTTATTTTATCACTCATTATTTTATTACTCATTATGTTTACATACTATATCCTTATGTCCCTAGAAGGGTGTTCTGCTAACAGTTTTCGACTGACTTGAATGTCCTGCACAGCAGATTGAAGCTTCTTAAATTATTTTTATTCTTATTGTATTGCTGTGTAAATTTGATTCTAATTCTAATTCTAATTCTAATTCCTCCTCCTAGGTCCTCCTTCTGGGTCCTCCTCCTCCTCCTCCTCCTCCTGGGTCTTCCTGATCCTTCTCCTCCCTCTCAGTCATCCTCCTCAGTCATCCTCCTCAGTCATCTTCCTCAGCCATCCTCCTCAGCCATCCTTCTCAGCCATCCTCCTCAGTACTCTTCAGTACTCTTCAGTCCTCAAAATGTTTGTCCGCTAATGTCCACCAATGTCCGCTAATGTCCACCAATGTCCATCCAAGTCCGCCAATGTCCGTCCGGGTCCGCCAATGTCCGTCCGAGTCCGCCAATGTCCGTCCGAGTCCGCCAATGTCCGTCCGTGTCCCCCAGCTCAAGATTTATGCGAGATTGCGAGCCAGACTCATCGCACAAAATTTGTAAATAAATGAGGAAACAGAAAAAGTGTAACTTAAAAGTTGAGGGAATTAGGAACTTAACATGTATTTTATACTCTTAACGTGTATTTTTTTTTTTAGGATGGTGTGAGACAGTAACGAGTCCGCATGGCAGTGAAAGCAGCCAGTAAGTTTATCGCCTCGACGAAGATCGCTGGATACCTTCTTTGTGCAACTTTTTCCATCATTGCTAGTACGACACTCAATTTTGGGACATGGAATGTTTGTGGTCTCTCCACCACTCACAAGCAACATCTTGTTGCAGAGGACATCGACAGATACGATTTAGATATTTTGGCCTTACAAGAAACCAAAACTCGTGAATTCTTGGAAACAACACTTCCCGGTCATCATAGACTGTTTCTGTTTGACCAGAAGCAGGGTAGACATGGAGGTCTTGGTTTTGTTGTTAACAAGCGTTTTATGGACAGTGTTTTATCGCATCATCAGATCAGTGACAGAGTTGTTTACATGGACGTTAAACTAAAACCCAATCGGGTAAACAAACCACCTTGTTATATCAGAATTATAAATTGTTACAGTCCTACTAATCCTAAATCAGTCCAGAACCCTCAACTAGCTGATCAATTTTATGGTGAGCTTCTTGAGGCTATCAGTGTTCCTGCTCGATTTGAAGTATGGATGTTAGGTGACTTCAATGCCAAGTTAGGCAAGCGTTCACTTGTTGATGAAGAAAATGGTTTACAGCAGCACATAGGTAGGCATGGTGTTGGTAGAAGGAACGAGAATGGAGAGAGATTGTTACATTTTCTGGCAGCAAATGGCTTATTTGCTACCAATACTTCATTCTCCCACAGCAGCAGGCATATAACTACACGCACTGGATGGATAAGAGACCAATCCACCCGAAAGAGTAAACCATACTTCTCACAGATAGACTATATACTTTGCAAGTCCAGGAGCAAAGCACTACTGACTGATGCAAGGTCATATGCGGGAACTAAGCACCGCAGTGACCACAAGCTTGTAGTTGCAAAAGCAGATTTTTCCCTGCGTTATAGTTTCTACAGGAAGAAGAGGACTACTCAGAAGGCATTCAACACAACCACTCTTGTAGGTAGCATTGCAGCGCAACAACAGTTTAAATCTGCACTTACTGTTAACATTAACCAACTTGTATCTGAACCTGACTATTCTTCTAATGATACTTGTCAACAGTTCGGAAAACTATTTAAAAGTGTTGAGACTGCTGCCATCTCCACTGTGGGTCTACGTGAGCCACAGCGAAAGAGACACCACTCTTCTGATAGTGAAGTTGTCGAAATGTCAGAGGAAAGAAAACGATTGCTACAACTTCTGAATAATAATGAATACAGAGACAGAAAGGACTTGAGATCAAAAATTAACAAACTCTCAAATGACATTAAGAAGCGACTGAATACTCTCAGAATAGAAGTTGCAAACAGTCTTGCAGACTCTATCAATAATACAGACGACGGCCGTAAAATGTTTGAAGCTGTCCGGCAACTATCAGGTAACAAGAAATCAGACTCCATCTCTGTTTTTAATGACAAGAATCAACTGGTAGATAATGAGAGTGACAAAGCTGACATTATACGCAACTATTTTGAGCAACACTACACAGGACCAGACAGTGAACCTCCACTTGAGCCGTTTGTTGGCAGTCCTCAGCCACTAAACAATCCCATAACATCCTTTGAAGTGGAACAAGCTGCCAAAAAGCTAAGAAATGGTAAGGCTGTTGGTCCTGATGGTATACCAAACGAATTCCTTAAACACTCCCCACCTATTTTCTATTCTACATTTGCACAGCTGACCAATCAATCTTTTGAACGTCATGAACATGTACCTTCATTCACTGAAGGATTCCTTACCCCACTGCAAAAACCTGGTAAGCCACGTGGACCTTTAAAAAGTTTGCGCCCTCTTTGTCTTTTAAACGGCACCAGGAAGATATTGTCCATGATAGTCCTTAGACGCATTCAAAGACAAGTTTCTCAGTACACTGGACCTTGGCAAAATGCCTACAAGCCTGGCCATAGCTGTGCAAATATTGTTTGGACACAACGGATCCTAGTTTCAGTTGTAAAGGAGAAACGCTGGTCTCTACACAAAATGGGTATTGATATGTCATCTGCATTCGACACCATTAAGAGATCAGTTTTGCTAGAACTTCTTGCTGATGCTGGTTGTAGTGAAGACGACATCCGACTGGTAAGGTACCTACTCTCATGTACCAAACTGAAGATTAAAGTGAGGTCTACCGTATCAGGGGAGTTCATTGTCACGATAGGTGCGTTCCAAGGTGATAGTTTGTCTGGAAACCTTTTCACCCTGTATTTGGCTGGCGCACTTTACCACCTTCGTGCCTTTATGTCTTATCTAAGACCCAACCCTCCGTTTGCTGAAAACCTGCTACCTCTTGAGTGGGAGTACGCAGACGACGCAGACTTCACAGACGAGGATAAAAAGAATTTGGAGTCCATGTTACCAATATGCAAGGAGATATTGGAGGAGTGGAATCTTTTTGTCAACGAATCAAAAACAGAGTTCACACATATCTATCTGGCCGAGAAGAACGAAGTTGATGACAAAGGAGAGCCACTTCGAGGAAGAGAGCCCTGGAGATCATCTATCTCACTTGGTTCCAAATTGTGCAGCAACGAGGACATAAAAAGACGATGTATTCTGGCAAATCTTGCTTTCCAAACCTACAAGAAAGTTTGGGAACAAGGTAAACGCATACCTCTTAAGACCAGACTTAAGATCTACGAAGCCCAGGTGGTCTCCGTCTTAATGTATAATTGTAGCTGCTGGGCAGCTTCAAAGCAGCTACTGAGTAAACTGGATATTTGCCACAGAAAGCATCTGAGGCAAATCATCAGAATGACTTACCCTAATATAATCAAAAACGACACCCTTTACAAGAGATGTGAAGTGGTTCCACTCAGTGAGCGTGTTGCATGTGCACGATGGAGGATGCTCGGACATGTCCTTCGCAGTGATAACAACTCACCTGCACAGCTTGCATTACACTTTGCAGTAGAGAGTCAGAGTACTAAAA